ACTCCTTTTCCTTCTGCTAATTTCACCACTATCACATGCACTTTTTTTCATTTGTGGGCTCCTAACAAATCTAAACTGGTGATATGGATTGCTTTAGAAATCTATTTTCTGTATATATTGTTAGACTGAAAACTGACTGAGCCAAGTTATGCCTTTCAGTCCCCTTAAACATAGTCTCTAGATGCCCAGGGGTGCGCAGACCATACTTTTAGAATCACTGCACTAAATCAGAAGGAATTTTTAAGATATTGTTTTCTTCACTTTCACAGGTGTCATAATTAAGACCCAGGATATAAAGAAAAAAGATAATGTATAGTACTACAAATAAAATTGCCCAGATAAACTGAGATGTACTAAAGCACCCTACAAAAATTGTAATATCGACTTGCTTCATGCTAAAAAGTTGACTAAAAAATAACAAACTTTTTGGGGCTAGAAGGCACAATGGATTTCTATTTTAATTTGACCCAACAGTGCACATACTACTAAACAGGGTAATACTGGGACTCACAACACTATATTCAATGGTGTTTGTGGGATCATGCCCATATGTTCAAAGTAAAATGGAATTTAAGGCTCTCACACTAGTTTCTGTGCATCACAAAATTCAGCTGTGAACAACACAACACAAACATTTGGTCTCTGCAAGAAAGGTCCAAGACTGGAATGATAAGGGCCTGCAGATCAAGACTGTAGGTGAATCCAAATCCATCAGAGTTGATTGATTTCAGTGGAATTTGTATCAAGCTACAGGTGTGTTAGGCACTAATGGGACACCAGATGTGGAAACAACTGGTGGGTGTCTACAGATCAGAATTAGGTGCATTAGCAAAATCATGGTAGACAGGAAAGGACTGGAAGGAGGAAGGTATGCAGTAGAGATATAAAGAGTTAACCAGTTACCCAGTAAGCATTGTCTTACTGGCATGCTTACTGGGGATAACTGGTTAACTGGCACCTGGCTGGGCTGGAACAGCCCTGCCCTTGGTGCAGCGCATCAGGCCAATTAACCAGTTAAACACAATTTAACCGGTTAACATTTTAAACAGTATTTTACATCCCTAGTATACAGATGAGGAGTGGGATACACAAGGAGAATCAAGTTTGTGGGTGGAAGGATATTTTGTAATCTTGGAAATACATAGCTCAGGATTATTGTATTCACAGATCTTTGAAAGGGAACAAAACTGTAATGGTGGGAGATACAGGGCAGGGTTAGCAGGGACATGGGGACTCAGGGTTGACAGTGACAGGATCAGGTTAACTCTGAGATTTTTACGTAAGGAAGCATTTACTGGGACACTCAAGTTTCTTGGCTCAAGATACTATAACATATTAATCCTTCATTATGCAAACTATAAGTTTAAAATTTTATTAGAAAAACAAAATGCACTATTCAAAGTTGCTAGAGAAAAATTATTGCATAGTTATCACATAAGACAGTACAATTTATCCATTCAGACTGGGGGAAATAATGTAGCTGGTAATAAAAAAAGTCACTTTGTAATTCAATTTTCCTTATAATGACTGCCTCTCAGACATACATTACCCAGAGCCAGCAAAGCATAAAATAAGTCTATTAAGTTATAACTCACCATTTAAAAATCCCCCAAACTCCTGTGAAACTAATATGAACACGAGCCTCTTTATAGTTTAGTAGACCCAGCCATTTTGAACATTAAAGACACATTACTACAAGGGACTATTACAGGGAGCTATCCTACAGTCTTTCCTGATGACAGCAGTCCCACTGTGCTCATGTAAGGATTACTGAAGCATGTAAAAGGGGCAGGGTTAAGATTTACAGAGGTTTACATATATTGTAGAAAGAAGCCACAGTAATTGAGTATTAGAACAGAACTCCCAGTTTGAAATTTAAAGTCATATTAACTTCAGTGAGTTTTGGATTTGGTCCAGATTTACTGAGGTACTTAATTGCCTAGACTCTGTAAGTCCCAAGTTTAGGCTCCACTGTGATCCACAAAACTCCCACTCAGCTGCCACCTAACCCTTTAGTGCCTGAACTCAGTCATTGCCTACATCTCTGCTGTGCAGGGTCTTATCTGGTAGGCCTACTCAGAGGTTACCCACTGGATCTAGTCCTATTCAAGATATAACTGGAGGAGGAACTGTTTCCAGTGGTGCCCCTCTTATAGCTTTTATTCTAGTTATTAGAACATCACTTGGGATGTGGAAGACTTTGGTTCAATTTCCTCCGTGGCTCAATCTGAGGGAGAGAAAGGATTTGAACAAAGGTTTCTTACCTCTTCAGGAATGTGATCTAACCATTGAGCTATAGGATATTCTGAAACGGGGCTCCCTCAATCCCTCAAACAACTGAAGCTGTTTCCATCAAGGATAACAGTCAATGAAGCAGGGAGACAGGACTGTGGTTCTCTAAACTCCCTGCTGGGTGCCCGAAATACCAGACTACAGTGTCATTCTGCCTCTCCAGCCTAAAGATTCAATGTATTTATCCACAGTAATGCATTTGCTGCTAGTCCACAAACAAGCCAAGATCCATTTAATTGAAATGACACACTTTTTTCTGTATTATTTTCAAAATATGTTTTTCCTTCTTCTCTCTACTTGTGCTACATCATTAGTCCTGAAGTATATGTCTCAAAACTGAACATTCAATTTTCTAGGTACCTGGGGGCGTAACTCAACTCTAAGGTTAAAGACCCATTGTTTGATTGCCTGTTTACAATTTCCTTTCATTTAGCTATTTTTAAAATAATTGCTTGAATGCTAGCAGCTTATTACTATTAGACCAGCTCGCCGTTCATGGAACTAGAGGAGAATGGCAATGCTCCTAAAGAGACTTCAATGACTAGGGCTTGAATTTGCCATGAAGCATGATGCGAAATGTCCATGGCATATTGATGAGCAATATGAAGTATGATTAAGCATTTTTTAAATAGCAGACATTGTTCTCTGCTTCCCTAAAAGCATCCTGGCTCCTCTCCTGGTTTTCCTGGCAGCATAAAGCCTGCAGAATCTATCATCCTATAAGTTTGCCTACTTGTTCCTACTCTGGAACACTCCTTCAGATGGGACTGCTACTGGGTACAGCTAGTAATTCACATCAACTGTACACCTGTCATCCGTTAATGGTAGGATAACATCACCTGTAGAAACAAAAGTTAAACTGAGCAATCATTACAAAGCCTAGAATGAAGGTTAAATTTAAAAACTTCCTGGATCACCATGAATGGAAATGCAGTTAATATTCCTGGACCTAAGTTGCCACTCTGAAGGCTAGTTTTGCAACACCTAGAGATAAAAGGCAAAATCCTGGCCTTATAGGAATGTTGCCATTGTCTTCAAAACAGCCAATTTTTCACACTTAAATTTTTCCAGTTCAGTTTTAGAAGTCTGATCCTCCATTTTACTCCACTGCATAATTCCTCTGAGGGTTCATGAAATACCACTGGTACAAGAGAAGAGAGAAAAATCAGTCTCTGAGTCTTCATCACTAATTTGAGGTGAATAAAATTCCCACTAAAGCAAGGGAAAAATCTCTGCGTGCCTTTTTAAAATGTTCCCTAGAGCCCTAACAATTATTCTATACTTGCAAAAATAACTTACAAATATGCCTTTCCTGATCTCAAAACTGGGTTTGTGCATTAAGTCCTTCCAAGATCTTTCAAACCTCTATCGAAACTAAGAAAAGCTATTTTTTTACATAAGGCACAGCAAAAAAAGCATCCACGTTTCAAAACATGATTAAATACCCATTTTTCTGAACACCATTCCCATAAAAATCAGCTCATTCGCATCATCTCAAATTTGGACAAAGAATTGTCCAGTGACTACAGATCACATATGCAGAATTTGAAAAGGGAAGAAAAACTTTAACCGTGTTGGGGCAAGAATCTTACTTACAGTAAGTGAATGATACTTTCATTTGGAGGGATGAGACTGTCTCTTCATAATATTTAAACACACTGATGTATGGGGAAAATAAAATATCTGGTATAAAATAGAATACTGGTATCGGTATCTGTATAATAGTTATTACAATTTTCTTTTGTATATTCCATTAGTGTGCTTAGGTCTGTACAAGAAGATTAAGAAGTTACCATGGTTGTATTCCCTAAACTCACCCTCAAGTTGGATTCATTTAACAGCAACACTCTCTAATTTAACCTTGTTTCAGGTCATTAATGTGAGTGACTCTCAAAACTTTAAAACATGAGAAGTCTGTTTCTTTTTAAATATATATTGAAAAGTTTATTTCTTTTGTAAAGCATAAAAATGGTTTCAGAAACAATCCTATTTATTCTAACATGCAGCAGTATGTTAGTTACTGTGAAATCTAATCTTTTACCTTCTCCTTGTCAAGTTTCAGACAGTTGGTCTTCAAACCTCTAGAGTCTTCAAATGAAATGCATAACAAAAGTACGTACTACATAAATAAAAAGGTTTGTTACAGGTATTTCAAAAGAGCGCCACAGCACACCTCCAAAGCACTTTTTTTTTTTTTTTTTTTTTTTTTTTACAGTATTCTGTCTTTCAATATGAACAATCTGAAAGAATGAGGGGGGAGAGAGATGGGAGACAAGGGGGAAATATGTCTAAAAATATAATCAATAGCCAAGTCTGAGATCATACCAGAAACACCATTTTTCTAGTTTTACTTTCCCTCAGGGTACATCTAGACTGCAGGCTTCTTTCAGAAGAAGCTTTTCCAGAAGAGACTTTCCAAAAAAACTTCTTCCGAAGGAGAATGTCCACAGTGCCAAAACACATAAAAAAAAAGATCTGCTTTTTCAAAAGATAATATCCATTCAGTGTAGATACTATCTCACATTTAAGCTGTGATTACTATGGATGGAGTAGCCACTAGGGTACTAGTGCTTTTTCTTCTTTCCTCTTCTTTCGAAAGAACTCCCTCTTCCCTGTCCATAGACGCCTTTTTCCGAAAGAGTTCTTTAGGAAAAATCATTCTTCCTAGTAGAATGAGGTTTACCAATGTCAGAAAAAAACCTTTGTTCTTTTGATTTTCTTTCGAAAGAACTCAATAGCAGTGTGGATGTAAGTGAAGTTTTTCTGGAAAAACTGCTGTTTTTCCGAAATAAACCCCTGCCGTCTAGATGCACCCTCGCAGGGACAGACAATCTCAAGATAAGAGGAAATTCTTGCTTCATTCAGATAAAATATTATATAGTTTTTAACTTAATCACTTCAAAGACTACAAATATAAGTCAAAGTTCATTTACATAAATCTGGATCTACTTTCTCACCAATTTTCTATTATTTGGAATAGTTGGAAAATTTAGGGTTCAAACATTCAGAAGTTAAACAAAGACAAACTTAGCAGGAAGTTTTTCTGAGGAAAAAAAAATTCTTTATCTACAAGTTCCCAGAGTCTCTTTTCCCAGAATGTCCAAAGTATTTTTGCTCACCCATTCTTTCAACACAAGGAGAAAAGTGAGCATATACCACAAGAAAATGTAATACTGTTAACTACAGCTTTCATGAATACAAAAATGAATTTATTTCATAGGAGCTAGTAGTCATTTACAGTTCCATTATTTCACATTATAAAGGAATGACTTCCTGTCAACGTTGTTTGTCAGTTATCACCTTATCCCATCCTAAGGAATATTTCCTTAATTTGTGTAGTGCTCAATACCAGGAAACAAGGAGGCTGTTACTCAGAATTTTGGCCTTTCAGAGGAAATATATATAAAGTGTCTGAGTGGGAAGGGGATGCATTAATGTCATCATTATATGAAAAGGCGGGGAGGGGAGGGAGACTACATTTGCGGATTAATTAAGAGCCTCATTCACTACTCTTGATTTAAAAACACTCTGAGTACTGTTTAGATTGTTCCAAAAAAGCTAGAAGAGGCAGGGAGTAAGACTGGAATAGTCAAATCAAGTTAAGAGGATGGTGCTGATTCAGAAACAAACTTTTCACTATTTTTATGTGCATATGTTCAATAAAATACCTAGCTCTTACATAGCAGTCTTCATCCATAGATCTTAAAGTAGGTAAATATCATCTTTGTTAACCACATGTTACTGTTGTGGAAATTATTCATCCCTCCCCCACGCTTTCTCCTCCACTTTTTCCTCTTCCAACTCCTTTCTTTTTCCTCTTATATTCACTTGCTGGGAATAGACAAGGTAAAGTAGATGCAAGATCTAGTACTCATCAGGCACAGTATTCATCTTATACTTTCAACATACATGGAGACAAAGTGAAGTGGGTCAAGGACAGTCCTTTTACATTTGCTTTTTGGTAGGTGCAGTCAGAAAGCATATGGTCATAAAATAACTCTTCTGGATGGGGAAGAGGCACAACTTTTAAGCACGTGATTTATATTGCACTACAGATTGCCAAAATACTTTTACGCAGTAACTACATGTATTCACAAAAAAACATTGCTGAAAATTTTCAAACATCAACCCCTATTTATCACAAGCATTTTAAGTAGACAGTCTAAAAACAGTACATTAACCTTCCTTCAGGCCATCTCTGACTGGTTTATGGAAAGTGACTACTTATGTTAATCTGTTGTAAACCAGTTCATAATTATGTAACCCTGAAGGTTTAGATTTAAAAAAATGTCATTGGACACCATCACTTCTGCTGGACACAAAATATCTTCTAGTGTTTGTTATTCCACTCAATGGAAGTCCAGCAGCCATTCTATCTTTATGATTTCTTTTTAAAGTGAGTAAGGTGATGCCTTTTCAAATGTGGGGCCTGTCTGAAAGTTTTACCACAAACTGAACATTCAAATGGCTTCTGTCCAGCATGCATTAAATAGTGTCTTTCAAGTTTGGAAGGTGATTTGAAAGTTTTTAAGCAGACACTACACTGATAAAATCTTTTAATAGCTTCACTTTTTTCCATAACCCCAGAAAAATCATACCAGTGACTATAATGGCTTTGCTCCGTTTCCAACAATTTACTGCACAAATATGGCTGTGAGTTTCTACTGCTGGTGCCAAGAACAAAGTCCCCAGACTCTAGTTCAACTTTGATTTCAGCTGCCTGGTTTGACTGAATCAGCTCAAATTCTGGAAAGCCGGATGCCTGTGAAGGTCTCTGGGAATAACCCACCGACTGAGAAGACTTAAATTCAATGTGATCTCCCTGGTGACTAAAAAGTTTGTTCAGATTTTCAAATTCCACCTGGCAAAGAGGGCTTTCATATGGTCTCTTTTCAGTATGAGTGAGCTGATGCCTTTTTAAGTGAGCTGACTGTCTAAATGTCTTCCCACAAACATTACAGCCAAAGGGCTTCTGTCCCGTGTGAATAAGATAATGTCTTTGAAGTTTGGATGAAGAAGGAAAGATTTTTTCACATCTGTCACATTTACACACTTTGTGTCTATTATGTATATTTTTAGTAGGAGCTGAAAAAGCACACTGAAGTGATGCTTCTGGATTATCAAAGAAATCAGCATCCAATGAACCATAAAGAGAGTCATCTTTATTATGTACCGAATCATCCATGTTTAACATGCTTTCACCAGCAATCATACTTTTTAAATTACTTTCTAATTTATGCTTCTGTAGGTGCTCTTGCCAGGATAAAGGCATGACAAATGTCCTTTTCTTTTTATTGCTAATTGTATTGTGCCTGGCAAGCTTGCTATGATAATTTTTAAAAGTGTTAGGGGAATGATCAGAATGCTGCTCATTAGATACAAACAGGTCATAACTTTTAAAGTGACTTGTTTTATTTTTTTTTCTGTCAGACAGAGAAGAATCTGATGCCTTTTCTCCAGCATGTTTGAGCTGCATTGGGACTTTACTTTTAATGTTGGCTTTGTGACTGTAGGCTGGTTTGCCACAGTTCATATTTTTGCCATCTTTCAGGTAAAAACATTTGTGCAAATTTAGAACTCGCTCTGTTTCAAAACATTGCTCACAGACTGGGCACTGAAAAGGCACAATATAAATAGAATGAACATCAAGTGGGTCATTCTCTGGGGACTCATAAGTATCCACATTCTCAAAATCATCCTTTTTTCCTTCCAGAAAGTTCTGAGGCCTAGGGTATTTAGAAGTCTTTGGTCTGTAAAGGACTCTGGGAACAGTTTTATTTCTAACATGGAGTTGCTTGTGCTTCAGGAGTTTGCTCTGGATCTTAAATCCCTTCTGACAAATACAGCATTGGAAAGGCCTCTCCTCTGTGTGTGTGAGCTGATGGATTTTCAAATGTGTTGACTGCCTGAAAGATTTACCACACAAGGAACACTTAAAAGGTTTCTGGCCAGTGTGAATCAGCAAGTGTCTTTCCAGCTTAGATCGTGATGGAAACATCTTGTTACATGTTTCACACACATGAGTTTTCTTTCTCCTCCTGGCACTGTGGAGATTATTTGGTT